CTCCTGCTATACTCACATGCCTGGTACCTATCAAATAAAGCTATCATCAATGACTTGGGCAAAATGGCAAGAGGTAAAATAAAATCTTCATGTGAATTAGCCAGTAGGGTCTGACACATGCTAACAAGGTTCCTGACTAGCACCTCAGTATTTCAGCACCTTAAGCACCGATGAATTTCAGTCAACAATAAAGTGAGTGTTCCAACTAGACTTGTGTCTTGCTTGTTTTTCCTGTTTTATTGGTGATAAATAGAAAACTCCATCATTATAATCATTAATTATTCTAGTAAAATTCAAAATAGAACATACCGTGTTTTAAAATAATCTGGTTTTTTAAAATTATCCTGACTTTTTTTTCCATTTGCACTTGAGTAGAGATTGAATTTAAAAAACTGATGTATTTTTTAATACCTTTTAAAAAATTTATTCATTTTTATGTGTTGCTAAGGATCGAACCCAGTGCCTTACACATGGGTTCAAGTGTGAAGTAGGCAAATGCTCTACCACTGAGCCACAACCCCACCCCCTAGAGATTGAATTTTTAAAATGTCATTAAGTATAAGGACAATTCTTAGATATGTTTTAAAGAATTTTAGTTTTCTGGAAAAGGATGAATAGTCTTAAATAAGTTTGGTCAATTCACATAGAAAAGTAGATCCTGAAGGATGATGTCTAAAATGCCTCATGTCTAAAATTAGATTGTAGATGTCAGTGAGACAGACTTTTCATTACCACACAAACACCATCTTTACGACATCTCTGGGAAAGTGTTAAGGTCTATCAGCCTTTGAAGAATAACTTTAATTTTGAAGCCAGGGAATAATTTCTCTTGCTTCTCCATCCTGATGACCTAAATAAACACATGATATCAGTAAAATAAACTTCATAGAGCTGTTTGGCTTGATCCTGCCTATCTCTAGGTCCCCAGTTTCATGATACATATCATCCTCATTTCCAGATATCAAGGTTTCCTCAGAGAAGAGAGTTTGAGGGCACTAGTTACATTTGTAATTTTTTTCAACTGTGTATATTAAACTATTAGATTATTTTCAAGCAGGAAAAAATGAGGCAAAGTCCATTTGTAGGTAATTATTTTAGTTTACTTTTCAAGATGATTTTACATATGTATCAACTTTCAAGATAATTTTGCATATATCAGTGCTATATAATGATGTGCGTTTCCAGTATTTATGCTGTATAAGTACATGATGTACATAAAATAAAAAATACACAGTAATAAACTTTTAAATTTTTTCTATAGCATCCAAACATGGCTGAAGCAGGAGGATCTCAATCAAGTTCAAGCCCAGCCCTAGCAATTTAGTGAGACCCTGTCTCAAGATAAAATTTAAAAAGAGCTAGAGATGTAGCTCAGTGATGGAGCATCCTTGGGTTCAATTCCCAGTACCCCTGGTCAGACACAAACACACACACACACAATTCTCTTCAGAATTAGAGCTCATGCTATTTCTTAGGAAAGGAACTGCCAAATATCTCTATTGCATTATGTTCTTAAGGTCCAAAAAGGAGAGGAAAAGTCTAAATTAAGAATTTATTTTAACTGGGTATGTGGCACACACCTCTAATTCCAGCAACTCTGAAGGCTGAAGCAGGAGGATGGCAAGTTCAAGACCAGCTTCAGCAACTTAGTGAGACCCTGTCTCAGAATAAAAAATTAAAAGGGCTGGAGATGTAACTCAGTGAAAGAGTGCTCTTGGACTCAATCCCTAGTACTAAAAACAAAAATATCTACTTTTTGAACGTACCTCTGTTCCAAACTAGTTATTAGGTCTAAAATTCTGAAACCATTTTCATAAACCTTCTAGCAGAAGAACATGCGAGTTAAATAGGCCACTTACACTTCTTGTTTTTAGAGGCATGTCGTTTAATCTTTATAACAAACCTACAATGCAATTATTATCCACATTTTATAGATGACTAAACAGGGTCATTTGTATATGAGGTAAAGAATATAAGATTTATCATAACTTTTTTTAAGTGTATACAGTTCAATAGAGTTAACTGTATTCCCATTGTTGTTGTTGATAAAATTTTGAAAGTTTTTGTCAGCAGTCCAAAAATATAATGTTTGATTACCATCAAATATAATCTGATAAATTTGAAAATTTAAATATTAGAAGCATGTTAGAAACTTTGGCATTATTTCTAATGGCAAGGTTACTATATAAGGGTTATAGTTGATGAATGTGGTAATTAACTGAAAATTAGTGGGTTTTTGCCGACATTCTTCTCATTTAAGCATATTTTACCTTTAGTTTGTATTAATGATAGACTTTCTTGTAATCTTACACTGAGAGCAGAGGTCTGATCTATAGTAGTATTTCACTTTGAAGAGATGCGAGAAGAAAATAACAGTTGGATTCCAGATCTCTGACATCAGCCTGATCTGAAAGCTTCATACAGGCATAGTTTAGACAGAGCTACTGAATTTGAATTAGTAAGAGCGAAGAAAAACTATGCATATAGTGGGCAGAATCCTTCCCTGCTTAGCAGATCTAAGGAGCAATAAATCAGTAAGTACTATAGTACAGGATCACTTTATTCTGGCTTTGTGCCATTTGTAGACACTAAAACCCGGAAAGACCAGAAATTCCTTTGAACTTATATTTGAAAAACCTTGTGTCCATTCTTTTACCTTTTGGAGTTCTTTTATTTTTTCTGTTTATTTCCTCATACCACCGCTTGTTGGGTGCAGAATCTGCTTGGATATGTTCCAGCGGCCTCAGCTTACATGTGGTAACTTGCTTACCCAGAGGAAGGTCTGGAGGACTGAATTGGATGCAGTTGGGCCGTGGCTCACTAGAGGGAGCAGAGGACCCGAGAGAGGAGAGAGGGCGAGAACGTATCTGGTTAAGTGTGGTGTGTGCGCACCAGGAGGAGGAGGGCCGGGTGGGGGTGGCTGCCTGTAACTGCTCCACCCTCACTTTGTCAGCAGGTAGAGAGCGTGATTGCAGTCCTAGGGGAGGGAGTCAGAAGTAGAACACCAATTACAAACCACAGGCTTCCTGCTCTAGGGAGTTGATCCAGAGTTGTCTTTCTGAAAAGGAAGCACTCGAATCCTTCCGAACTTTCCAAGTCCATCTATGATTCAGAGATATTGCCTTCTCCCTCTGGGATTTTCTGTTTCTGGTAGTGAATTGTTGCTGATATATTTGCTACTTGTGCTTCTTTTCTCTTTCAAGATTTGATTATTTAATGTGCTGTTCGGAGAGAAAAAGAACTTTTGTTAGAAAGGAGATTTCAGAAGTGATTTTGGATCGTCTATAAGTGTTTTTAGAGTTCTTGGGGACTGTAGCTCTCACCCTGGAATAAGTTTCTGCCTTTGATCTGCATGGATTATTTTTTCAGACTGCGGAATATCTCGTCACCTACCTGTAGTATGGGGCACTTGGTTTGGTTGCAGAGTAAGAAGGTGGAAGAATGAGCTGTACTTGGTTAAGCAGTTCAAACCTTTTTTGAGCAGGATCTATAAAAGCATAATTGAATTTGTCACCCCCGTGGATTCCAGTGGGCCCAACAGCACAACAGGTTTGCAGATTTCTTTTGAAATTCTTTTTTTTTTTCTCCCTCTGCCTCAGAAAAAGAAAAAAAAATCTCTATAGTAGGTTCATATTCAGTTGCTCAGCTTTTCAGCACTTATTTTGAAGACTTTATATGATTTTTAAACTTGACCCTGGAACACAACGGGCTTTGTGGGTGAAGTGCACTTATGTTTACTTAAAGGTGCACATTTAAAAACCTTATTCTGTGTTTATCCAAAGCCCCCAATTCGTATATGTGCTTACAAATAGCACAGATCTACCCAGGCTTCATTGTATTTTTTTCAGGGTGTTCTACTTAAAGCCTGTGACTAATCACCTTCCTAATCCCCCTATCTTTTATTCCCCACCCCCTCAAGGAATTTGAAAACGTGTTAGGAATAGTCCTTTGTTTTTCTTATGAACTTAGAAAATTACGGATTATAAAATCTGGATATTAGTTTACCAAAGCGTCTCATGGGAAATCAAAGTGCTTGGCATTCCCAAGCTGGAGAATAAAATTTGGAATCCCTACGAGAGAAACGAAAATGGAGATAGAAATATGAACTTTAACTGGTAAAGATAGTTGGAAACTATACCCTTTTCATATATTCTAATTTTCAAAGTTAGAAAAGGTTGTGATGTTCAGGATTATCCATAATGTATAAGGATATATAAATTAGCACCTAATTTATAGGCAACTTTAAGAAAACCCCCCAAATTATAGTATGTCCAAGTTTATGAAACATATTTAAATTCAGTGGACCTAGAACTTTGGGCTACAGTGAATTTTTCAAGTAATTCAATTTAATTTTACAGTTAATTTAATTTACAATTTAATTTAATTTTACAGTTAAATTTTTCAATTTAACATGGAAACTTCTCTGTGTGCTGTAGCATCTTTGGACATCCCTCAAGGTGTGGCGTGAATTTTATCATTTTTTATCATTTTCCGTCTCTTCCCCTATTAAAAAACAAATCTCCTGTGGTCTTTAATTATTTACAGTTGACACATTTTGTGGCTTAAAAGGGCCACTTCTCCATTGTCTAAGCTGGAGTTCTTCACTCTCACCTTTGATGCATGGCCTTAGCTGTTTACTTTGTCTTGTTTTGTTCATCAACATTGGGGTTAGTTGGTCGACAACTTGATGCATATGGAAGACCAATACCAAGTGATCTGACATAATAAAAATTCATAATGTGACGTTCAATTTCAAGCAAAGTTGGAAATTCCAAAAAGAAGTGGTGGTTTCTTTGCTAGTCAGAGTGAAAATGGAAGAAAATGACATACCTGCTGCAGAAGTGGGCTGAAAACATAGTCTTCTCTGCCCAATCAGGAATGCCACCTGTTCTTGGGAATATACTGTAGAGAAAGGAAGGGTCAAAACTGTGACTTGGCTTTCAGAAACAGAAGCATAAATTTTCTCTTCCTGCATTTGTCTGGATCTGAGAACCTGCACTTGGTGTTAGCCAGTGGAAGCAGTATGTATGGCCGAAGTGCATTGCTGCAGCTGGTAGCATGAGTGGTGGCCACCAGCTGCAGCTGGCTGCCCTCTGGCCCTGGCTGCTGATGGCTACCCTGCAGGCAGGCTTTGGACGCACAGGACTGGTACTGGCAACAGCGGTGGAGTCTGAAAGATCAGCAGAGCAGAAAGCTATTATCAGAGTAATCCCCTTGAAAATGGACCCCACAGGAAAACTGAATCTCACTTTGGAAGGTGTGTTTGCTGGTGTTGCTGAAATAACTCCAGCAGAAGGAAAATTAATGCAGGCAAGTATAATTTTATTATATTTCACTTTCCATCTGTTTGAAACATGCCTTTCTTCTTTTGTCTCCCAAACCAAATACCATACAAGGGCTTCTGCTGCTTAGCTTTCTGTTTGTTCCATCTTTTAAGGATATTGCCTTGTTGGCATTCTAAAGCAAATTATTTTATGCTCAAGAAGAAATACATAAATTCTATATTTTAGAAGATTATTTATTTATTTTTAACTGGTATTGCATTGCTTTTTTAGAATCACATAATAAAACCTTCCTTCATAAGTCATATATTCTGGGTACTATTTTTTGATAAATGAAATATATGGGCTTATATTTAATTGATCTGGGGATTATAGTTTACTTCCTGTTAAAAATCTGAATTGAGCACTAAGGAGGTTGATTTTAATGGTCAGCAGCACCCTGAAATTCTAGACTGCCCTTGAAGCATATTTGAATATAGTGTCACTTTTAAAATTCAGTCAAGCTTGAATGGTACGACTGGCTTTATACCACGTGTGGCACCCTATTGCTGCCCAAAATGGAGAGGACTGGATTACAAAATGGACACAAAGTGTAAACCTGTTTCCTGATCCCTTTGGTCTTATCCACACATGATTTTATCATTTTCTAAATTTTATCATCTGTCTTTTTCTTGACCCACAAAGTTTTTCAGACACAGTTGCTTAGGCTTTCGGACTGTGAATTTTGCCTGTAACTCATTCACAACTAACTATTCCTTATGTGTCGAATTTATGAACTGACTGGGGCCATAGCTTTTCATAGCCAATTCTCATTCCCTGTGGTGAAAACAGAGCTTAGTGGGGCTGTACCTTTTTAATGGGCATTCTCTTGTCTTATTCCATAAAATGGTGTTGCTGATTGATAAAAGCATATAATTTTATAAAATGACACTTTTTGCTGTAGCTCTTTGCACACAGGTTAAAGTGTCCTTAAATATGATCAATCTCAGCATCCAGCTCAGATTTTTAATTTTATGATTATGTATGGACTATAAACAGAACCAAAGTATTATATGAATTTAAGTTTTCATTTACTTAGAGAAAGAAGGTAGGAAAACAAAAGAATTATAGAATTCTTTTCCAAACTCAAGTTTTTTAAATATATGGTTTGATAGTTCTTCCTTACACTTCTTTGGCAGTATTTTAAAGCTGGGAAAATTATTTAGAAGAAGAAATGGGTAAAATGGAAGGTCCTAGTATTCAGAAAAATAAACAGGAAAGAAGAGTATATCTGAAAAAAATGTTGTTAAAATTTTTTGGTTAAAAAGTCAGTCATTTAATTTAGATTCTAGAATGAAACTGGGAATACTTAAAAATTGAAATAAGAAATCATTTAGAATGTAACCATTGGAAAGGAAACTTCCTCACTTTGCCTCCTTAATATCCTGAAGCATGAAGTGTATGCTCAATTTTAACCTTTAGCATAAATAATTTTCTTTAAAGTCACATTTTTGTATCTCTGAAGTCTTGGGAACTTTGTGCCTTATGCCCTTTTGATAGCATGTTCAATTGATTATATGCTGCTTAAACTAGTTTTCTCTTTTATTTTAAACTTCTTATCTTCTAATATAATAGAACTCTACATAAAACTTCTGGTTTTTTAAATAAAGGAACAGGTAAATGAGAAGCACCAGTTGGCATTCTGTTTTCTTTCCTTTTTTATTTTATCAATCTTTATATCCTGTCTTATTTTGCCCTTTTTCTACTCCAGCAAATATTGCTGATCTTGTTGTTTTTTTTTTTTTTTCTTCTAACTATGACACTCTCAGTATACTTTAAGTATTACAGTATTGCTTCTTTACTTTCTAAGGAGGGAATTTCACTGTATTTTAGCAAGGACCTTCAGATTTTATCCTGGACAGTTATACATCAGCAGCAATTTTAAGTCTTTACCTTTTCTGTCCGTTCTGACCGCTTATGGTCATTAATAAATTTTATGCAATTCTAAAATTAGTCTCTGGACACATTCAGAATTGGTACTGGTTTATTGCATGTTAATCAGTTGTTTAGTACTGGTCCTGGTTTATTGTGTGTTCATCAATTTTTAATCCACACCAGTTACTAAATTTTCTTAATTGCCTTTTATGAGAAACTTTATTTTTAAAAAACAGAGAGCAACCTTGTGTATTGTATGCATTGTTTTTTCTTTATCTACCTTTGATTAACTATTTCAAAGAACTCTAGTGTGTTGGGGACACATGGTTTACACTTCCAGAATCTGTGCTATTTGTTCCTTATCAGATTACATGCAACTCAGGTTTACTCAACTGTGGTTAACCAGGCCTTCCATTTAACTGAAGATCCATTTATATCTTCTACATTTGTGCTTTGTAGCACTTTGGCTTTCTTGATGAATAGCTATACCCTAATGTCACAAATATAAAGATAGTCTTCTATATTGACTTTGAGAAATTTCGGATAATTCTATATATCCTCCTACCTACAAATTATTCTAGCTGCCTGTTAAAATTAGTTATCTCCAAAGACAGGGTCAGATCTTTGTAAAATTGGGGTGTCATGTGCTATAAAACTGAAAGGTATGAAAACAGTAATTAAAAAAAATAATTTTAAAAAAATAATTTTAAAAAGGATAACATTGTGGTTTTGGGACTTCACCGAGAGTTTCTGAAAATCAAACTTTTCTTTACATTTTGCTCAGTTAATTCAGGGTATGTATCTCACAGGGACCAAATTAACTGGATTTTCATTTATATTAAATTTTAACTTTTCTTAGACAAAGACAGTGTGCTTCCAATTTAATAATAAAATAGACTGTAGAGGGCTGGGGTTATGGCTCAGTGGTAGAGCGCTTGCCTAACATACATGAGGCACTGGCTTCAATCCGCAGCACCACAAAATAAATAAATAAATACATAAATAAATAAATAGACTGTAGAATTGGCTCTAAAATAATTTGTCTCAACTTTATCTGATGGCTGTACATACAAGAGCATCGAAAGCCAAGAATTGATGAATTTTTGCCCTGATTCTTATCCTTCACCCTGTGTGCTAGGATTTTTCTTTGCCAACAATACTCTCCATTTTATAAGGTATAAGTTTTAAATATTGATATTCTTTTAAAAGTACTAAAATTCAAAATGAAAGAGGAATGTTGCCTTTATTGTATATTTTTCTATTTCTGAATCTTCTCTTTTCCATGCAAAAACTCCCTATCTTAGTCTTAACCAAATTGTGTTAGTAACTATTTTGCCCGAAAGCTTTTTCTTCACTTTACTATATCATTTCAAATCTCCGAGCTGGTTTACTGTTGTTTTTAAAGTGTCTAATTCATAGATTTCCCTTACATTTGCCAAAATCTTTGTTCGTTCCTCTTCTTTAATTTCTTTCTACCTTTCTTTCCTTTTGTTTTCCACTCAATTTGTATATTTAGGATAGCCTTCCCTTGCTAGTATTTCTCTTACTAGTCATCAAAAAAACAGGTCAAGAAAATGTTCCTCATCTCCTACTTTCTTGGTGGTGTCTGATAAAAAGGACGACATGATAGTGATTACAACTGCTTACTATTTTTATATTAATTTGAATATTTTTTTCCTTTTTTATACTGAAGAAGGAAAACATGCTTTGTCTCATTTCCAGTTTTCTGAGTTGTTTACCTCTTACCAATGTTTGTTTCTATTATTTCTAGTAATGTTGCTACAATTTCCAAAAATTGTTGTAGTCATTTATTCTTTATTAAGTATTATTTAGAAGGACAATGCAAAATTAATCTCCTTTCTTCTTAGACTAAAAACAAAGAGGATCCTAGTATAGCCCAACAGAGGTCACCAACTCTGTAACTATCACATTCTTCCTGCTCAGCTGGTTGTCCTGGATTTTCTTAGACTCCAGGATAAAGTTATGATCAAGATTAGAATGTACTGCCCTGAGGCTGGTGACCTACAGTGGGAGCAGGGTGGTTTCACGTTTGGCCAGGAGCAATAAACAACTCCTCCTGGACAAATTCCCCTTTGCAAGATGTCTCTGCTTGCCTCTTAATTTTACTTATTAGTTAATGCATAATTATCACATCTTTGAATTTTTACTTTATTTGTAGTCAGGCCTTGAAACTTTTAAATTAAAATTTTAAATTTTGGGCCAGAGTTAGATAATCCTGTGTAGCAAAGTATAATTGATAAAATGGCTAAACTGCAATTCAAAGTTCTTGACTTTCAGTTCTGACCTAGACATTAAATAGTTGTGTGATTTGTGAAAAAATAGTTTTTACCTTTCTAGGTTTTAGATTCCTTGCATGTGATATTAAGAGATTGAAACCTAATAGCTACCAAACTGATTCTATGTACTCTACATGTTTTAGCTCTCTAGATTTTTATAACTTCATGATAGAAAAAGTTCAGTGCTTTTCATTTCCACATTTTACAGATAAGGAAACTGAGGACTTAAGTGTTAATATTTGCCAAAGCATTAACTAATATTTGCAAGAAAGTGGTATAGCTGCAACTCAAACTGCAGAACCCATGGTTTTCCAGCTCTCAATTTCTGTACATCTAAGAATGTCACAGGTGACTAGAACACCAGAGTAGGTTTTATATAATTAGTTCCAAAGTAGAAAGGAATGAAAGTGATGTGTACCATTGTCTGAGTTGATCCAGAATACACAGCATCCTGCTACCTTCTAAAAATCTCCATTTCTTCTATTTTTTTTCTCATTTGGTATTTCATTTCCACAGATATGAGCAAATCAGAATCTTTATTCAGTATCTACATTTGATTAACTTTCTCTTCGTTTTAAAACAGCCTACGATGACTACTAAAAGAGGAACTTGAAATAATAAACTCTGAAAATAGCATGTATTTAATTGGCATTGCTCAAGTTAGAGTTCCTTGGATGCAGATTTCAGAGTGATTTTGCAATTTTACTTTGATGCCAGCCTTTAAAAGAAGTATAGAATAAATATTGAAAATATAGTCAACTCACAGTTATGTTAATGGAGGTGCAGAGATTCCAATTAATTGCCAATTGACTTTGGA